ATATCCTGCGAAAGCAAAAGCCCCAGACCTGGCATCATGTCTTCCTCCCAACATACGGCCGGGCCGAGGCGGACGACGCGCAGCGTTTAAAATTTACAAGACCTAGAAAAAAGAACCCCACAGAATCATCTAGGTAATGATTTAAGGCCGCCCCTCGTTTAAATGGGTATATTCTACTATAACTAAAATAAAGACCCCCACAAAATCATCTGGGTATATATTTTGGGCCCCTCTATGAACCCCAGGGGGGAAACTCGGAAGTCCTGGCTTACTTGGCGGACCATCGCATCCACCTGCCAAGTCGCCAACGACGGAGCTTCAGGGGGTTTCTGTCGGTTTAGGGCTGAGGGGTTTAGAGTTTCAGGAGGGCTGAGGGGTTTAGAGCTTTAGGGTTCAGCGGTTTAGGGGTTTCGAGTTTTGGGGTTCGGGGGTTTAGGGGTTTAGAGTTTTAGGGTTCAGGGTTGAGGGGGTTAGAGTTTTAGGGTTGCGACTTACGCACAAACCGAGAAAGACACTGCCGCGGGCAAAGAGACCGGCTTTTGCCCCAACTGTTAGGCAAGAGCTTCAGAGCACAATGATATATTGGCGTGCCTGTGCATCATCTGAATGCCAATGACAGTACTACCATGGTATTTACTAGTTTTGTTTTGTTTCAACCGGTGCCCATAACTGACACGCATAATGAATGCGATTTGAACATCGCCAGTCTGGCCGCCCCCTGTCAATTGCTGGCAAGCCGTGTTGCCCACGGACAAGACCAGCGACGTGCTTCAGATTTCACAATTCGGCAACTAATATAGCACAGTGTCCGGCACATTCTAGGGCTTTTAGGGGTATGGGGCAACACACACTTTAGATGTTTGCTGGCTAGGATTTAATAGGAACGTCTCACCCGAATTCGAGCACAGAATGGCCAAACACAGACAGTCTCACACAGAACTCGAAACACTGAACTTAAGCAAAGTTCAAGATCGGCGGAACAGCCCTACACCCACTCATGTAGGGGCCTGAAAAATTAGAATAGGGTTTTGGGGTTTCCTTATTATAATTATGGTATAGTATACCCCAAACCTATTCTAATTATTACGGGCCCCTATATCCACAGCTGCTGCCTGAAAGGAGGAGACGCCTTCTGCTGCAGTCCTGTGCCGGCTGGGTGAAGTCGAAGGGTTTTTGTGTAGCTATACCCTAAACTCTAAACCCCTAAACCCTTAAACCCTAAACAGCTAAACCCTAAACCGTATATATATATATATATGTATGTATATGTATGTATATGTATGTATATGTATATGTATATGTATGTGTGTATATATATATATAGAGAGCAACCCAAATTACGGGGTCGCGACCTTCTGGAGTCGTCGTAACACAGTCGGTCGGGTCCTGGACGGGTTTCCGATGCCCCCCCTGCGAAGCGTATCCAACCGCTTTGCGCGGGCTTTACTCTGAACTCCAATCCCATATGGGACCTTCCGAAAATAAGGAGGTACCTTATTTTGGGTCCTTATAACGAGGATCCTACTATTTAGGGTACTATATGAGGGTCCGCCTATTTTCGGAAACCCCCATATGACGATCAGAAGCACCACGAAAGCCCGAACACCAAACCTCTCCACCCCCCGGAGAGTTGAAACCATGGACCAAGCCCATCCTGACGATGGATTGGCGTACAGGGCTTCGGGTCATGAACTTGCGCATCTACTGCCCGTAGACCGGCACCTTTTGCTGAGGCTTTCAGTCCAGTCGGCGGCAGGGCATTTTCCCCTGGCGGCTAGAAACCCCATGGCCGGGCACATCTGGGACACATCCCGGCGAATAACCACCCGGCTGTGGAGGCCGTGCATGCGGTGCAGACTCGCTTGCCGCAGATCCGACATCGTGTTAAGCCGCGGGCGCAAGCAGCACAGTGGCACCGAGCGCAGCTGCCACAGCGTGAGGGCGGGCCCGTGATCGGCGTTTTGCAAGCAATGCAGGATCGGAGTCCGAAGACTGCCTGTAGTGTCTCTCCGGGCCTCAGGCTGAGACAGCCGAGTGGCGTGGACTTTCGGAGCCTGGTGTTCTGAAGGCACAGCTGTATGTTGTCGTGACTCTGTCGTGCTGCTTGCACCTGCTTTCTCAAGTAGTGCACCGTCTCGCTGAGAACGCAGCTCTTCCGCAGGATCTCATCCCCAGCAAGGGACACGATGACAAACTCCACCGTGGAATTCGTAACCTCCTCTATCCTCAGATCAATAGAGGACCACATCCTGTCCTCCCCAAGTTGCCGCCAACCGGTCGCCAGCAAAACCTGTGCTTGTGAAGGATTTTAAGTTACCACAATAAGGATCCATAACAAATAACATGGTCTCCTTTATGTGGGCAGTGGGAACTTAAATTAGACTTCTTAACAAGAACCCAAGAACACTGGGAGCTGCAGCTGCTGTGCTTGTGCTACGCACAAAGCCGCAACCCGTCTTTGTCACGAGGTTGGCCCTGTTCTTGCTGAAGCACCACTCCCCTTTGGCGGCGTAGAGACACGGTGTGCTGGAGTTGTACTTGCAGTAGACGGGCGAAGTGTCCGTGGAATCTTCCGTGCTCAGTGTATAAAAACCATGCCACGGCTGCACCTCCCCGGAGCTGATCCACAAACACGGGGAAAAGAGCTCCCTCAAGTGCTGCGCACGTAGATCTGCGATGATTTGCATGTTCTGGCGTTGCATCTGATCCACTTGGTCAGCCTGGGTCTGGTGAAACCGAGCTCGACGGCTCGCCATGCTCCTCTCCTCCTTTTCCAGGAAGATCTCAAGATCTTTGGCCTGCGTCGCACGCAGCGCTTCCAAATCCTCCTGGCAGCTGCGGACCGTTTTTGCCATCTCCTGCTTTCGGCGTAAGGCCTCCGGATCTCTGTCACTGGGGCCGGAGGAGCCACAGAGGCGCTTTGCTGCTGGCTCAGGCTCGCCTTTGGCGTCTCCTTGCAAGGGCCGCTTCCTATCAGCTGGCAGCTCCAGTGTCTCTGTAAGCAAGTCATGCTCTGCAGCTATCAAGATGGCATCCGTTTGCAGCCATTGCTTGTATGCAGCACCGGCCTTGGTGCGTCCAAGCGCAACCGAAGCAGCATCGCGCCAGAATTGCAGACGGCTCGATGCTGCCGCCGAAGAAAAGTTGGGAACGAATTCCAAGAGCAGGTTTGCGACAGGCCGCAAAAGCTGGGACAGAAGCTGTTCTTCTGAGAGCACAGGGGCTTTGCAGGATCTTGCAATTCGCCGGACCTCAGCGATGGTCCGTTCGGCTTCTCTGGCCTCCAGCTGCTGTGGAAAGCCAGCTCTAGCCAAGCAGGCCGAGATCGTGGTGGGCTTGCGCCCACTCTTGGGCGCCATGGCTCGGAGGTCTACAGAAACCCTAACCCTCCAGGTACCTACTAAAAAGGGCCCTAGGGGCTCTAGTACCCTATGTAGTAGGTACCTGGAGGGTTAGGGAAATGTCGTGTTTAACTTCAAGTTGTGTAGCTCTTGGGTTCGACTGCTACGCCACTGTCATGTCTAAACATTTGCCATGTCACGGCCGGGTGTGTACTTGTGTAACCCTAAGGGAAACTTCGTTTTCGAACGACTTCCGATTCAAACCTGAAAAACACGCAGACACAATTTAGGCTACCCATAATCTCCATAGTAGTTCCTTTTTGGGATGACCTTATGGCATCCTAAATATAATGAACTACAAAAATAGGAACCACTATGGAGCCTATGGCTGAGGCTGTGGATCCTCAGGTCGAGCCTGGGATGGCCCCCGGCCGTGCCACAGCGGAATCCCCCGGGCCTCCTCGGCCGACCCGCCGTCTTGGACAGAAACCATCTCCTGCAGTTTCGGGTTTGAGGTTTAGGGTTTAGGGTTTAGCGTTTAGGTTCTGCCGCCAACGCCATCTCGAAAGAGCGTCAAAGGCTTTAAATAAGCTGGGACATCACACTTCCACCAGGTTCCCAGGAACCCGAAACCCTAAAGAAACAGAGACCCAAGGATGACATGTGATAAACATGAATGTGATGGTCCCTGTCCCTGCTCTTCCCCTGTCCTGTCCATGCCGGGTTGATGCAGAAGAAGGGCTTCTCCCGTTTTTCCAGGCTGCAGGCATGGGCTGGAATCGAGGGTGTAGCAGGTTTGTGAAAGGAACACTCGCCGCAGCTACTGCCAGACTGACCAAGATCATTCAATAACATGAGACAGAACAGCAGCAACAGCAAGGTCAGCGGCAGCAGCGATGCAACATTTTTCGGCGAGAGCCGCACCAGCACCACCGCATGCTACAACGATGCTTCAACGATGTTGATCCGGTCGTGGCCACTTAGGTACCGCGTGCCTGCCATAATGAGCCTCTAGCCAAAGAACTGCACCCAGAAGTCCGCCGACGTGGCCCACATATGCTGGGGATCCGGACATGCTCCGATTTGTGTAGATCTGTTTTTAAGCGCTGTGAGCCTCGGTTGCAACAAAATGAGGGAGTGCCGGATCGAATCATAGTTGCACGGCCGCGCCTGAAATCTCGAAAGACCTTCTATCTCTACAGAGCCCATGGCCTGCAATAGGACAATAGGAGTTGGGCTCTTTCCTTGATGCACCCTTCCTCAAGAGGTATGCTTCAAAGGTCCAGGCTCCCAGACTCGCTTGCACTTTAAAGGATTGGGCTTGGGATGGAGGGAAGCCTCAACATTGAGGTGCTGTGAGGCGCATCTTTAAGCATTCGTCTTCTAGATAGCCGTTGGTGCTTCGCTGACGCGCTTTTTCAGGTTATGACAGTATACTGAGCCAAAGGCACAATGGACATAATCGCTAATATAGTATAGGGCATGCTACAACAAGCAGCCCCCAAAGTATTATTGGCAAGTATTTAGGCCCCTACTGCATGTCTTACCCTCCTTCAGTGTGTCTTCTTGCCACCAATCCACATGTGCACACCCTGATCTCTGCAAAGCCAAATGAGGCATCCGGTCGTTTCGACCCACCTCTACTCTGTTGTGACATCTGCACTCGACAGCCTGTCAAAAGTATGAACCTTACATGCTGGATTGGTCCCATTGGTGTAATTATTTTATTTGCCAAAATCCGAAGTCAAACTGCTCCTATGTCCTGTCTAACTGAGGTCGAGACGTGCATGCAAGAACTGAAACCGCCATTCCTGCTTTGTCTGCAATGATGATGTCTTTCGTCTTTGTTCTCGGGATTTCGGTTTCCAGCTGTATGGTTTAAAAGGTCTTGTTTGCCAGGCATGGATAAGTAAGCATGTGCAGGGCACCGAGAAACCTTACAGATATCCTCGTCTTACAAACTTACGAAACCGTCGACAAACTGTCTGTCGGCAATGGTAATGTCATGTCAGCTATCTTCGGAAGCAGCTCACGGCCCTAACCTTGCGGGTTCTGGCTAAAAAGTGAAATGCAACCGCATGCCCATGGCTGTCTAACTGGGCCCGGCAACCCGCAAATAGGCCTTGCATCCTAGTCGGTCTTAAATGGACTTTAAGCGCGCTGCGCACCGCTCCCGGGAGATCTTATTGAATCTTAGGGAACCTCAGAAAACATGCTTAGAGTTGTGGCAGGACACCAGTAACAGCGTCTTAAACGTTATTGAAGTCCTGGAAGGATCTCAAACGTTCGCCCCAGTTTCGTGGGTCCGCCCCCACACCCCCTGGATCCAGGCACAGACCCGGCACACCTTGCAGATCTCCCTTTACAGGCACACTCGGATGATGCACAGCCCTAAATTTAAACCCTAAACACTAACACCCTAAACCCTAGACTCTAAACCCTAAACTCCTAAACCCTGACCGTCCTAACCCCCCAAACCCTCCTAAAACCCGAAAACAACCGAGAGCCTTCAAGATGTTGCCCTGGCACTCTGCGAAGGGCATGCAGTGCTTCTCTTTGGAAGCCTTAGGCTCTTCGGGGATGCTTTTAGCGCGTAGCAGGGCCGAGGGAGGCCTCGATATCGGTAGTTCTCTAAACTAGGGCCCCTTTCAGGTCCCCTCTATAGTACGGCACCCCTATTTAAAAAAAGACCCTATAAGGGACCCTAGTTCAGAGAACTACCCATATTGGAGAGCCGAGTCTGGGGGCATAGTCATCACACGTCCGTGCACAAGAAACACTCGAAGGCCTCTGTAGAAGCCAGGTCTCCAGATTCTTGCTAGCAGAACGAAGTACGACGTGCTTTTTTCAATCTATTTCGATTGAGGGGGCTGCTTTGAGTTATGAGTCCTGGATGGATGGCTGAGGATAGCGCGATGGCGACGACCACCTGGTCCACCTGGATGATGTCGTCGTAGTTCAGAATCAGCTGTCCATCCTGGGTCGTCATTCCCTGCAACTAGCTGCTTTAAGCAACCTTGAAACCCCTGAAGTCGAAATCCTGCAACTCTCATGACTGTGATGGCATGGCCATGATGAAAGAGATGACCATGACGGTGCTAGTGAAGAGGAGGTGAATGAGGAAGGAGCGATGAGGGTGCTTCCAAGCCAATGCATCACGAAGCAACATGACGAAGCCCCCCCTAATGCTATCGAATCGAAGCCCCCCCCACCCCCCACCTGGGCGACTGCAATGAGCAACACACCGCCCCGCGAGTCCTTCAGAGTTGTATGGGTGCGGAACTTCCATCGCTCGAGCTTCAGGGAGTACAGGTTCGGGTTGAGTTGAGGCTTTTAGGAGGGTTGGGATTTAGGGCTTTCAGGGGAATAGTCGTCGGGAACCAGATAGAAGCGCACCTGGCCTGTTGGAACCTTGGAATCATGCTCTTCGCCGTCAGGTGCCAGCACGCTACAGTCGATCACAGAAGACAAATAGTACATCGTCGTTCATGGAAATAGCCATGCTACATATCCATCTTGTGAGCTTTCGCCAAGTGATAAGCGGCTTTAGTAGACTCGGGGGATTCAAGTATCTTGGGCGCCGGCTCCCGAGCGACGGCATACTCAATACTCTTGGACTCTGAAAGGCTCAGAGTTTAGGGTGTACCCTACATAAAGCCATGCAGAACACTAAACCTTGCAAGGTTTAAGGCTAAGGGGCTAGACAACCTTATAAGATTTATTGGTTCAGACGGCTATTGATTTAGCCACCTGCATCATAAGTTAAGCTCCACTGTTACGAAATACTCCTCCCCTTTGTAGTGCTGCTTGCCAATTATACTATACTTCCAACAGCCCAACCCCCTGAACTAGCAAGCCCGGATCTTTCCCCCCTGGAAGAAGACCTGAGATTCACGGGAAAGGTGGCTTTTAACACAAGTTTCCGAGTCTCTCCTCGTAGACTTTCCGTGCCACCGCGGGAAAGGTCATGTTCGCCAGGTACGGGGAGATCACAAACCCGATGAGGCTCCTTAGTGCTCAGGGCCTGAACCCCCCAAGCACGAATCTCATAATCCCCAAAAGCCATTGTTGTCAGAACCCACTCTAAACCTTCATAAAACCCTATATACCTGTGCTATATCATGGTCCAGTGTGAAATTACAACCCCAGCCCTGGGTCCTGCTTCCCCGGAACCCTGACCCTTCTGAGCCAACAGCCTCTTC